CCTGGAGCCTAGGGGTTCAGGGAGCCTGACCTGACATGGCTGGATGTCATTCGAATTCCAGCCATGGTGGCTTAAAAACATGACTGGACACATGTGCATGTTTCCTCCAATCCAACAGAATGGAGACATGAAGAGGAAGCGATTGTATGTCCATGCCCCATTGCCGGGTGCTTCCTCCCTCTCTCTGTCTGTCTGTCTGTCTGTCTTTCTGTGGCAAGTGTATGTGCCCTTTGGTTAAAACAAAACAAAGCAAAACAAAAACAAAACAAAACAAAAAAAAACCTGCTGTCGTTGTTGGAAGAATGAAATAAGATGTTACTTAAAAGGGTTTTGTCAGTTTTAATGTGCTAAACAGATGTAAGCTGCTATCACTGTACTGAGTAACCAGAAATTCAGCAACCCCTCTCTAAACCTTTGCCTTTCTGTGTCATGGTAAATATTGTCTTGAATCTATTTAGAAGTTGTATAAGTGGCATCCCTCCATAGAAATCTTTTGTTGGTTGGGACATTTAACAAGAATTTCTATGTTTGATTGTCTTCCTCATTACATTATTGATATAAGTTTTTCACATGGTCTGAATGATTTGTTTTAGTTTGTTAAATTTTATTTCCCTAACCAAATAATAATGAAAATAGGCATTTTAAATGCATACTATGGAACAGAAAAGCATGTTTCCATTGTTTTTAAAATAATTATTTTATTTTATTTATTATATTTTTAAAATTTGACCAGAGAGAGAGAAAAAGTGAGAAAGCAAGCCACTAGGTCTGGGATTTGAACCATGGTCATTCATGTGGGAGTCCAGCACCTTAACTACCATGCCACCTGAGAGCCCTCCACCTATATTTTTTGAACGAGAACAAGTATGCAACCCTAATCTCCAAAAGTCCCTCCCCCAATTAGAAATTCCTGATGGGAGCCAGCCGGTGGCATGGAGGATAAAGTGCTAGATCCCACACGGACAACTGTGGGTCTAGTTCCAGACCCAGTGGCTTGAAAATCATGCCAGGTGTGTGTGTGTGTTTGTGTGTGTGTGTGTGTGTGTGTGTGTATGCCCTAAATCCATAGAAAAGAAGGGATTGTGGCATGGCCAACCCCCAAACCTCCAGGGGGTTATTTCTCATTTTCTCTCTTTCTCTGTGTCTCTGGTGAGCTCACACACTCTGTAGTAAAAACTGAAGGAAAAAAAAATGAAAAGAAAAAGAAATTCCTGTTGGAAATCAAGAGTTTCAAATGAAACTTTCAGAAACTTGCCCTGGCATGCTGGGTTCATAATTTTGTTAAGCTCTTTTTGAGCACTAAGTGATAGACTCCAATTTAGATATAATCCCTTAGATCTTTAAGATATAGATTAAGCTGAAAATATACGATTTGTCTAGCTAGAAAACAGAACCATTATAAAACCATGAGGTCAAAAGTTTTAGGCTGAGTAATGTTCCCATAAGTATAAATGTTTTATGACTACATGGAATCTTCAGTTAAAAAATATTCTTGACATAAGTTGAAGAAGTAAATTCTGTGTGCCCTTTAAACTTAGAATTTATTTTGCCCAAGCACTTATCAGGTTGTCTTTAAATATAAGACATGTAAATATACTTAAAATTGGATTTTTTTTTTTTTGCAAGAACAGCTTTGAGAAGTGTGTGTATCAATATGCTCTATACCTTCCCATTTCCATATCCTCTCTGGAAGATAAAAGTCAATATGGGTTCATTTAAAATTGTATAAAAATATTTGCTTAAAACAATTTCTTTGGATGGAAAATGTCAACTTGTTAAAAACTTATATCATTTTTTTTTCCTTAAGGAGAATGGTGTTGAACACTCATGTTCTAAGATCCAACCACAGCCCAGGTTTGCTTGTTTGTGTTGTGTGTGTGTTTGTATTTCTAGTTAGTTGATTCTTAAGAGAACTATTGGAACCTAACCATCCTGAATATTCCCTCTACTCTTTTGGCAGGGAGTACCCCACACTGCCATCATCCAGACACCCTTCCTCCACAGACAGCACTGTAACTTCCAGTGGTGAGTGAAAGATACGAAACGAGAGCGTCAGTGTCATCACCTTAAGCCTGATGTTGTTGACCTGCTGAGGTGTGTGCAAATGAGAAAAACATAGGCAAATACCGTTTTGCATAGTATTCATGCTGTTCATTTCTTCCTGTTGATAGACACTGGGTCAGAGATTTTGAATATGGCTTCTAGTGACCCATGCTGTAAACCCCTCTGTGAAAAACAGGAGGACAAAAGAACAGCTTCTACCTTGATGGAGACCCAAGGTAAGCTGAGTTTCCACTATAAAACACTAATACATTTATGAGCTAGTAGAATAATGATCCCAAGTAACTCAACAGTATTATTCAATATTCATTCTTATTAAAATAATATTTTTTTAATTTAGTTTTTCAATTGCCAGAGGATGTAGGCACTTGTCAGAGACAAAGAGCGAGAGAGAGGGAGAACTCCCCCCTGCCCCCAGTGTAGTGTGGTCATACTACAGTCTTTTTTCTCCATTTCTCTATCCTTCAGGCATGCACACATGAACTTAATGCATTTTTGAAGCTGCCAGGGCTAGGATTTAAACCACAGTTGGCCACGTGGGATCTGGCTCCCAATGCACAGTGCTAACCACTATGCTATGGGGCCAGCTCCTTATAAAATAATTTTTATAAAGTTCTTATAAGACAATATTGAAGAGAAAGTAAGTCTGGATAAAAGAAGTCCAAGAAGTAATCATGGCATCTGTGTATGAGTATATTACTGTTTCTTTTCCAATTCTGTAGATAAAACAAAAATTACAATATATTTCAATGAGACTTAAATTTATTTCCATATGTCAAAGATTGATTGGACACAACTGAGTCTCAGTGCTGACACAAATGTGACACCACCTGCCTAGAAAATTCTTAGAATCTGAATTAAAATCCATCAAGTTGGAAGGATTTCTGGGGTAAGGGGCGGGCAGGTGGCATGGTGGTTAAGGGCCCTGGGTTCCCACATGGCCAACTGCAGTTTGAGTCCCAGACCCAGTGGCTTGCTTTCTCACTTTCCCTCTTTCTCTATCTCTGTTTCTGGGCAAATTAAAATAATAATTAATAAAGTTAAACTAAAAAAGTATTTTTTTAAAAAAAGGATTACTGGGGTCTGGGTACACAGCCGAAAAATGTATTTTTAAAAAAGGATTACTGGGGTCTGGGTACACAGCACAATGGTAATGCAGCATTCTCAAGACTGATTCACATTCACATCTGGAGCTCTCCCTGCACATACTGGGCATGAGTGATCTGGGCTGGCAGAAGACAGGGATAGATGGGAGACTAGCAGTTAGTGTAATGGCTATGTCGTTGGACTACCATGTAGCCGACCGCGGTTCAACCCCGGACCTGGTGGCTTAAACTCACACTGGGCGCGTGTGTGTATGCCCAAGATCCCAAGAGGAGAATAGAGGAGATGGGATTGCTGCATGGCCATCCTCCCTGGAGGGTGATTTCTCGCTTTCTGTCTTTCTGTGTCTCTCTGGCGAGCACAAGCACCCTATAGCAAAAATCTCTCAAAAAAAAAAAGAAGAAGATGGGAATAGATCACGGCATGAAGACACCACTGGGAACACTGACTCTCTCTGTCTCTCTCTGTCTCTCTGTCTCTCTAACTCATAGGAGACATAAAGAAACTTAAAAAAGAAAGAAAGATGGATGGATGGCCAGATTAATAAATTCCTTTTAGAAGATAAGAGAATTAACCAGATGATACATTAAATCCTTTACTGCTACTTGACTCTGTAGGCAAAGTAATTATTCTTTTACTTTTTTTTTTTTTGAGAGGTTTTTGCTATAGGGCATGTGCACTCACCAGACAGACAGAGACAGAGAGACAGAAAGCAAGAAATCAATCACCCCCAAGGGGGGATGGCTACGACGCAATCCCTTCTCCTCCGTTCTCCTCTCGGGATCTTGGGCACGCATGCACACGCGCCCGGCATGAGTTTTAAGCCACCAGGTCCGGGACACGAACCATGGTCGACTACATGGGAGTCCAGCGACATAGCCATTATGCTAACTGCTGGTCCCCAAAGTAATTATTCTTAACCAGTCACAGTGAGGGTACTACAGCTGACATCCCTGGGAGGTACAAGTTCCCATTCCAAACAAAACAAAGCAAAGAAATACATTCTATTGTTTAAACTTGACATTTAAATTTGAACTATATGAAGGAATTTCAAAATATTCATTGAAAAAATTAGAGTAAGAATTTATTTTTGTGCCCCCAAATGTTACCCATGCATAGTTTTGCACAGTATGCATTTTTCATGAACTTTTTGAAAACTCTTTGTTGATATTAAAGTAGTTATAAAATGCAAAACTGAGGCCAGCCCCATAGTATAGTGCTTAAGGGAGCCAAATCCCACATGGCTGACTGCAATGCAAATCCTGGCCCTAGTAACTTGAAAAGCATGTTGGTCATGTATGTGTCCATGCCCAAGCTCCTGATGGGCTGGAGAAGTAGAGGAAAAATTACCCTGGCATGACCACACTCTCTTGGCGAGGGGGGTTGCTTTTCTCCCCTTCATGAGTGCATGCATTCCCCTGGCAATAAGAAAAATTAATAAAATGCATAAATGGAATCCATTCTATGTTTTAATTGAAGAGTATCATTATACTCTCACACCTAATAAGGAAATATTTTAATTTAAACCATACCAAGAAGTCAGTCTGTGGCATGGCGGTTAAGGTGGCTGGATTCCAAATGGTCCACTGCAGGGTTTGAGTCCTAGATCTGGCCTTTGAGAAACATGCTTTGCCTGTGTGCTGGTGTGCCCAAAATCCTAGCGAGAGGGAGAAGTGAAGAAGGGATTGTGGTATGGCTATTCCCCATGGGCAGTTCTTCTCCCCCTCCTTCCCTCCTTCCCTCCTTCCCTCTTTCTCTCTTTCTCTCTCATGAATACCCGTTCCTCTAGCAAAAAAAAAAAATTAAATTAAATATAAAAATGCACAAATATACCATTTTTACCTCTTTATATAGACAAAGATGCTAAAATTCTCTTACAGTCTTGGCAAGGTTTTTGGGTAAAAGGAATTCTCACATGTTGCTTTAGGGAATACATTTTTGTAACTAATATGAAGGGAAGTTATATTACAATGTCAAATGTACATATCCTCTAATTCAATTTTGTTTCTGGAAATTTATGCTATAAAAATATGTATACACCTACAAAATGACATATGCGTAAGCTTATTCAGCATTATCTATAACAAATTATTGGAAACAGGCTTTTTTTCTCTTTTTAAGTTTTGCTATAGGGTGCATGTGCTCACCAGGGAGAGAGATGGTGGAGAGAGGGAGGGAAAGTGAGAAATCATACCCCCCCCAGGGGGGATTACTGCACCGCAGTCCCTTCTCCATTCTCCTCTCGGGATTCTGGGGGCATACGCTCACATACCCAGTGTGTTTTTCAAGCTGTGAAGTCCAGAGCTTGAACTAAGAATTCCTCTTTCTCAGTCAGTCATGCAGAATCCAGCTGCCTTAACTTCCATGCCACCTGCTGGTCTAGAAACGAGATAACTATGAGAAGAAAACTATATTTTGGGGCCATTTGGTGGTGTGGTATTAAAGGCAGCTGGATCCCACATGGCGTGGTCTGAGTCGCTGACCTGGCAGCTTAAGAAACACCAGCATGTGTGTATGTGTGTCCCAAATCTCCCAAGGAAAAATGGAGAAGGGGTTGCAGTGTGATTACTCTCCATGGGAACACTTGGGTTGGTGTGATTACTCTTCATAGACACTTGGGTTGGTTCCATGTCTTAGCATAATTATCAAATACCTTCCAATACCAATAAATCACACAAAAATAAAGGGAAATTACAAGAAGAAATGGCATAAGGTAAAAGTGCTTATTTTCCTCTTAGTTTGATGACATTAGGAAAGATAACATATTTTGGCAAGATATCATACTTTTTCATCAGCCTTGCACATAGCATTTTTTTTAAAACCTGTCTGTCAAGGTTTTAAAAAGCTGCTACTATGAATCATTCATTCTTCCTTTATCCACTTTCTATTATTAGGCCAGTTCTATGTTCAACTAAAAAAGCAACAGCAGCAGCCTATAGAAGTATTTTTAAAAACACATTTGGAGGTCTTTGTACAGATGTTTGCTTCTATTAAGACACTGTGTATAGGAGCCAACAGGTGGTATAGTGGTTAAGGCACTGGACTCCCACATGGACGACCACAGTTGGAGTCCTGGATCTGGCAGATTGAAATTTATGCTGGGCATGTGTGTTTGTGTACCCCAAATCCCGAGAAAAGAATGAGGTGAAGGGATTGCAGTGTGGCCATCTCCCCTGAGATATGATTTCTCACTCTCCCTTTCTCTGTCTCTCTCTCTGGCAAGCACACATGCCCCAAGACAAAAACCTAAAAAAAAAAAAAAAAAAGAGAAAAAAGAGGTTGTGTATGTCTTAGCTTCGTTGTGGGCCTTAGCTGCTCCATCCCGAGCCTGAGTCGGTGAGCACACACACATTTCCTAGTACACAATTTGTCTCTCATTGAGGCCTTTGTTCCTAACTGGTCTGCCCATATCGCCGCACTCACAGTTTCTTCCTTACTTGCTTCCGTTCCCCTTAGTGGGTTTCCTTTCTCTCACAGGCACGAGGCCAGCTCAGGACAATGTGGCGTGCCAAGGCCCTGTGAGTAAGGATAAAGCCATATTCAGTCTGGTAAGTGAGCATGCATGGTAACACTGAGAATAACGATATATCATGAAGGGAGAACTGTTTTGTTTGTAGAGGACTTGAACAAGTATCACCTGGCCAGCCTCAGTGGCACTGCAGTATTGCAGCACTCCATGGTGCTGGAGCTGCAGCATGGGAGGGTCCCGGGTCTGCATCCTGAGGTCTCCGTACACACTCTGAGTTCCCATGTATGTGCCCATTGCCCTGCTGACTGGGACCGGAAGTAGGCTGCAGTGCGAGCATCCTGTTGGAAGTGCCTATCTCTCCTTCTCTCACTTTCACTCTCATGGGAGAAATAAATATACACAAAAAAGTATTCTTTCATTTTATCCTTTCAAAATATCATGAGGTTAATATTGAGTCGTTGGAAAAGTCATGATGCATTTTTGTATAGAAAAATATGACTCTTCTGATGACCCCGTAGAATTTAATTATGTTGATATGTTATAGACAACAGAATTTCAAGCCAAACTCAACTTCTTGGGATTTGTTCAAGGTCACACAATAGAGGCAGAGCTAGGACCTTCCGGCTCCACCTCAATTTTTTCATTCATACATTCACTCATTTATTCAGCAAAGTTCTATTGGAAACAAACTGAATAAACTCAAAAGGAGACTTCTTAGAAGCCAGATAGGGGCACAGTGGTGATATAAGTGGGCCCACATAGTAAAGGCCGTGGGGCTTTCCTGAGCAACCAGATGCACATACACACCCATGACGCAAAATTGCTGAGACTTGGGGTGGATCATGCTGTGAAAACCCTGTTGGAGGTGTCTGTCTCTCTGCCTTTGTGAAATAACTTTAAAAATACTCTTCAGCTGACTCTGTGGCCTAGTCATTAATGAATCAGGATCTCACATGGCAGACCACATGGTTCGAATCCCAGCCCCAGTGGGTTGAAAAACACACTGGGTGCATATGTGTGCATGTCTGAGATCCCGACAAGGTAGAAAAATGGAAGAAAGAAAGGATACCCGGGGTTATGGCTTACCCTGTAGAATTAATAGAATATCATGAGAGTGGAGAAGGTGGGAGGAAGAAGAGTAGAATTTGTAGGGTAAAAACGCAGCTTGAGAGAAGTCAAGTTTCAGCTTAATGTGAGGCATCATTAATCTGCAAGGAGATTTTATAAGAGCTCTTTACCCATATTCACAAACTTATGCAGCTTTGGAAGCAAACTATATTTGTGAGTTATCAGCAAAAGACTAAGTGTATGGATGGGATTTCCCAAGTTTTCTGGCAGACAGACAGGAAGCACTGATGATAATGGAATTTTTTTTTTAAAGAGGTTTTGCCTTAGGGCCTGTGTGCTCACTGGTGAACGAGACAGACACAGTGAGAGAGAAAGTGAGAAATCACCC